CCCCAAAACCCCAAAACCCCAAAACCCCAAAACCCCTTCCAAAAGGATTTAAGGTGAAAGTTTTCAAGCTTAGTAATATTAAAAAATAAATATGAAAGCTATAAGCATCTCAAAGCAATTCGTCTGCTCTCATCCAGATTGTGATAAGGAGTATAGTACGAAGTTTGCTTTGAAAAGACACATGATCATCCATGCTGGCACAAAGAAGTTTGCCTGAAGATTCTGTAGCAAAAAGTTCTCTTTGGAGCAGTACAAGAAGGAGCATGAGTATATTCACACTAATGAGACTCCGTACGTGTGTGGCATTGATGGCTGCACACAAGCCTTCAGGCAGAGAGCCAAGCTATGACTACACAGAGCTGGTCATAAGGGGTACAAGAAGAAGAGCTACAAGGTCTACTCTCGAAAGAACAAGGGTGGAAAATCAACAAAAGCTCAAAAGAGACAGGCAGTTGTTGCCCCAGAAGTTAGATATAGCACTCATTCTTTCGGACTGAATGAATGCCAGATGGTTGGCCAAGTCACTCAAGATATGGCCAATTCTGCTCAATATGAGTATAATATGAGTTTGCTTATGACTCTTTCAACTAATTATTGCCTTTGTGAGATATATACTGGAAGTCAAGGGACCTATCCAATCGGGTTCTATGATCAAAGTATTACTCAACCAGAGGTGCAGTACACTATGGAAAGAGCTAGGCAAGGTCTCAGTACATTACAAACTCCAAAAGGATCCTTCTACAAGCCAGAGGATCAGATGACTCCTACCACAATGATGGAGTCAGCTGCTACATTTAACATGCTAGACAACAGATCTTGGCAAGATTTTAGTCAGAGGATCTAAGAACTTGGCTGTCTAGTTGTAGCCTTCCTTACTGGAGTAAACTAAATATTACTACATTAATAAATTATCTTCCATACATTTCCTTGGGTTCCATTGGACATGAAATCCTTTGCTTCTTTAATGATAAACTCAACAATACTGGTTTTTAAGAAGATAAGATGAGAGTTAGCATCTTAAAAATTGGGAGGCTCCTTTCTGTTCCTTCCTTGGCATCTAAATCGCCTTCATTTTCTCTGACCTCAATCGTGGTAGTTTAAGCTTGATGGAAGATTATAGTAATATTTCAGATTCATGAGTCCTGCTTTTCACCTTACTCACATTATTAATAATGAAGCACTGGTTTGAATATTGACCAAATGTACATTGATCAGCAATAACTTAGTCCTCTAGATCTCTTAGGTGCTGCAATGGAACACCTTATGGTTCTTCTTGAAAGAAATTTAACTTAGAACTAAAAATTTGGGGAATTATGATAAATTGAGCAGGTATTGGTTGATATACAGGGGTGAACTTTTACCAATTCCGGGCGAATCTCGATTAGAAAATTTTTATCAACACTGGGTATGAGGATATTAAAATTACCTGGTCATCTATAATTAAGGAGAACTAATTATAACAGAAAAGTAAGCGTGGGAGTGAAACTCCCACATTTATTTTCTCTTCTAATCTGATCAAATTAGCTATAGAGGGCTGTGAATTTTCATCCTTGAGATCGTGGTTTAACCTCCTCAGCTCGTTGAAATTGAGCAAAGAGTTTGATAAGGAATTCTCCGATGAATTCTTCATCTCGATTTTGTTATAATCTCTTAGAGTATTTCAAGAATAATTATATTCCATCTGGAGATAAGCTTAGCAACTACTGCCAGAAGGATGCCCTAGCTCAGCTTTTGACTGAGCTAGGGCAAGCCTGAAAGGACTCCCTTTTTCCTACCCATCATGGTTCATGAAATAGTAATGATTTTGATTAGTATTATTCAAATGACTTGCTGTTGTTTCTCTAGTGAAAAGGAATCGTAGTAATTCAGCAAGATATTTGTATGAATAAGTAGCGATTTTAGCTATAAAAATCCCTCTGCCTTCTACAGAATACTTGGAGTAAGTTAAAATCGTGTTTAGTTTTTGAGATCTCTTAATGATTTACATGCCGACAACCAGGAATCCTGAATAAGTTAGATATGACAAATGAATAATTCTATTAAGCTATTGCCGTCTAGTAGACCAATTTTCTGGAAGATTTTCACAAATTTCGCCAAAATTTATAGTTATTGGGCTGAAAGTCTCACCGAGGTACATGGCAGTTATTCTCCCTAGATCTGACTGTTTCTAGTTATGCCAAGACTCATTAACTATAATGAAGAAACGGATGAGTATTCCTGAATATGGCCCCATTGTTGTTCAATTGGAAAGAAATAATAAGGGGTTTTGGGGTTTTGGGGTTTTGGGGTTTTGGGG